GGGCTTGGTCTCCAACCTTGGTTGCATGAGAATTAGTTCATACCTTCAGGAGACTTAATAGCATGACTTCTAATTTTTTAGTCTTCAGTATTTAGGTTGTAGTCTTGTAGTGGTGGCAGCTGGCCACCTGCTTTTGATAATATAAATAATATTGCCAATCATCTGTGCAGGGAATAAGGGGAGTGTGGATTAAATTGCCTATTGGACTTGCAAATCTTGTTGAAATTGCAGTCAAGGTAAACACTTGAGACTCCTTTTTAACCTTTTTTTCTGCCCACACTTCTCTGTTCTGTCACTGTTTTCCATATAGCAATTGCCTTGACTATTCAGTTCCTTTTGAAACATAATTCACATTGATTTTAGGAGGGATTTTGTTACCATCATGCTGAGCCAACTTATCTCATGCTTGTTTTCTGGATTCCTAAGACTGAGAACACCCTTCCTGCAAATGCTTCACATCGGGTTCGTGTTGGTGCTATTGTACTGAATGAGAAAAAAGAGGTATTCTTACAGCCTCCCTCCCCTCTTTTGCTGTATTCTTTCTACCTAGTTGGTGTTTTAGTTTAAAATAGAAAAAAATCCATTATTCATAGTGCAACAACCTTGGTCTTCTGTGTTGCTGTTCTGAACCTGTAAAATTCATGGGTGTTTAGGTGCTTGTAGTTCAGGAAAAAAGTGGTCATTTCCAAGGAACGGGAATTTGGAAAATTCCTACTGGAGTTGTTGAACAGGTACGTGCTGGCATAAAGAGTTTCTAAAGAGCACAGAAGACTAAATTTCATGTTGCTTTGAAATGTTAAGGAGCTCTAAAATGTACAGGGTGAGGATATCTTCACGGCAGTTGTAAGAGAAGTCAAAGAAGAGACTGGAGTAAGTGATAAGTGTGTGTCAATATGTGTTTTGCACGCCTCAAGTTTTGCTACCTGTATTAATGTGTCTTGCTAAGAATACTCATTTTGACTGCCTCAGATTGACACCGAGTTTTTGGAAGTACTAGCATTCAGGTATAGTTCACAGTTCACACAGAATATTCTTTAAAATTATACCCTAACAATTTCCCTGGAATACTCATTAACCATGCCTTTTCAAGAAAACAACTTTGTTTGAGTCATCAAACTCCTGAATGCTAGTCAGGGATCATGATAGATGTCTCTAACCTTGTTGTCTAATTTTCTTTTTGGATGTTTCTTCGCTCTTTTATCTTGGCTTTGTTGCTCACGATGACATAGTTTGACTTCCTTGTTTTAACTTGAAATTCAGGCAATCACACGAATCATTCTTTGTGAAGTCAGACTTATTCTTCATATGCATGTTGCGTCCATTATCCTTTGATCTTCAGAAGCAAGAGCTAGAGATTGATGCAGTCCAGGTAATTTGGTATTGCCAATTATGGCAAGACTTGTACTTTTTGTCTTGTCTTAACACCTAACAGATCATTATAATCATAGAATTTTGCAAATGAAACAGGAAACAAAACCCCCAGCTAACTTGATGTGATACATGCACCTTTTTTAGCTTTCTCACATGCATAGCTCCTCTCCGCTTGAAACTGACATTCAACATTCAGATTAGTGATTTTTACTAGCAAGCAGTTTAGTTACCGAACCATTTTGAGAAAGAGTACATGCCAATTGCTCATATTCTTATTTAATGTGAAGCTGTGGCAACATTATATCCGTGTCTCTCATATCACATGCCTCATGCATGTGTTCTTTTTTCTCTGCTTGTAAACAGTTTAGAGCCAAAATAGAAGCTAGTTTTTGTCCTTTTCTGCTTTGGTCTTAGTGCTTAAGTAGCCAAAAAGGACTCTGAAGGAATGGTTTCTATTAGCTTTTATGTTACTCCTTTAAGAATTTAACTTGGTCTAAACTTCAGGTCCCTACACCAAACCAACCACCACAAGTTAAATAATGGTACTATAACATATAACCTCATTGACATGATTTATTGTTTATTCCTTTATTTCTATTCTTTTTCCTTACATGTTTTTCCTTTTCCACAGTGGATGCCATTTGATGAATTTGCAGCTCAACCTTTTGCTCAGAAGCATGAGCTATTCAGATACATTACAGAGTTATGCTTAGCAAAGGTAGACAGATCCTATGCTGGATTTTCTCCACAGCCAATAACATCAGCATTTTTCGAAGGGTTCAATTACCTTTATTTTAACAACCAGGACCTCAATCAGAAAATGAAGTAATGAGAAGAGATCTGGCTTTCTACTTCATTTTCCCTTGAAAAATGAGGGAAATTACAGAATAAGAAGAATAAAAATATCAGAAAGCGAAGAGATGAGATCTTTCCTTGTTGTGCGTGTCCTGGTTATTCTTTGAACTGATGCTCTTCTTTACTTCTTTCTTCTGCTAAGTTCTAACAGACATGGTCTTCTTTATTTCATTGGAGTTTATGAGGATCACACCTCTGTTCTGCCACCACCCTCGTCTCCACTCAACCATTTTTCCCTAACTGTCGTCTAGAATTTCTGTAATTGATTTTTGCAACTGAATAAAGTTCAATGGAGTAGTATTTAGGTTAGACTGCAGGATTCAATTCAAATTGAAAGAAATGAGAATCAGAGCTGGGCTCAAATTGAATGGCAGATAATGTATCAGAGCAGACCATGACTGTTAGTAGAAGAAAGAAGGAACAAGAAAAGCAACACTTCAAATAAATGACTAGCAGATATTCACAACAAAGAGGCAGCAGTTTTCAGGATCTCAGGCAGGAGGTGATTTTAGCATCTAGTCCTTTGGCAATATATTCTCTTTTATTTTGATTATTGTTACGATGTATGCAATGGTTATTGTCAGTTAACATATATAACGAGGCAAATTTAATGTTAGCATTCTTTTTGGCTATGTCAACTCTCAGGCACTGCAACAATCATTGATTCTGAATGTCACCTCCTATATAAATTTCTTTGTGGCCATCTTCCTCGTCTAACCCTCCCATCTCCTCCATTTAAGTTTACTTTTTCAAGCGTTAATGCTGCATTTAACTTCCTTGTTGCATACATATTTATAACATGCATGGAAGTTCATAATTTAGAAGCAAATTTTGAAATACGAAATGTTATAATTTGGTTTACAGTCATGCATACATGAATAGTCATTTATAATGATATTGTAAGTGCTTTGAATCACTGGTATTAGCAAAGGTTGTTGAGCTCTGCAATATGGTGTATCGGTTATGAAATTTTAGTATGCTTGGGATGTTTTTTGCACCAAGTTTCGAATTCAAACCTATATTAAATGTTAATTCTGCTGTCGTGGGGTTGGTTCTTGAATATTGAAAGTACTGTCCCAGACTTGATTTTACATGTTGCTGTTGTTGGTTATGGTATGGTGATAGATTTAAGTTGCTGATGATGGAAACTTGGACATTATCTATCACATGTTGATCAAGGTGCGATATAATAAAAGATTATTTGTCCCACCTATGGAATCCATCCAAACAAGCTAAGCTCTAGCTTCAACTGTTGACAGGTGGTCTGCCAGGCGGCTCCAAACCCAGAAATGCAGAGAAAAGAGATCCAATTCAAAGCCTGTCGTAAGCCACCGCCGTCGCGTATCATTCTTCTTTCTAGTTTCTAGTTTCATAGAACTCAGTAATTATCTGATTTTCTCCCCTCAATTTCGTACTGACATTTCCTGGGAGGAAGAATATGTTTCCTGCATTTATTTTCTTTGCAGCACTCTTGCTATCTTCCTTGAACCTTAATTGCAGGGTGTTAGGGGAGGTTCCGTATGGTGATGCGATATGCCAATATCCATGCCATCTCTCACCACCCCCGTCCCCACCACTTTCTGGGTATCCTTCATATGGAGTTACACCACCACCCCTCCATTCCAGCTACCCCTCATCTGGAGCTCCACCACCTCCTCCGCCACTTTCTAGCTACCCCTGCTATGTAACTCCAACACCACCTTTTCAAGCTCAAGGTAATTGTCCACCTGCTTCAATCCAGAGCTGCCAATATCCCCCTCCAAATCCTTATACATTTCTTCCTGATGCAAGTCGTTTGGCTTCACCTCTCCAGTCCTTCGTGATCCTGATAGTGTCATTGGTTGTTCTGTTCTAGGTCAGTGAGCTATTTTCAGTATGTATGTATGTATGTATGTATGTATGTATATATATATATATATTAAAGTATGTGCCTAGAATATCTTAAGTATGTTGCTCTAATGTTCTTTTGACTTGTTTGTATCCGAGTTTATTGTCACCGCTGAGAATATAAGAAACTTGTGCTTTATGTCCCTTTAATATGGCCATGAATTTCAGGTTATGTTTACCTAGACATGCGGCATATTTCTTGATTTTTTCCCAGTTCTGGTGCTGATTAATGTTGCATGCATCTCTGGAAGCGATGGGTTCTGGCTGGTGTAATCTGACAAATACCATAGGGTCTCTGGCTCTCTCCCAAGTTGCAGAAAGCTTAGTTTGGATTCAGCACCTGGTTTCTGATTTTTATTTTATGGTTTTTGTTTGTTGTTATGTCTCTTCACTTGTAGTCTTGTCTATCCAATGCGACTTCCATTCTGCTGTTCGAGACGATGAATAGCATCATCTCTTGTTCATCGTTCTCTTACTAAGTCAAAAAGCCATCACCAAATTTCCAGCTATATTTTTTGCTTGTTTGTTGGTCTCATTTGATGTTTGGAGCAAATTAACTCGCGCATTTATATTAAATTTACTTTTCAATCTAGTTAGGGCACAACTAGATTAGAGAATTCATGATAATTTACTTCGGCTCCTTTAATGAGCAAGATGGACAGCACACTTGATAATGTGGCCTTCTTTAAGAAGCAACCCTACCCGCCAAGATGGAAAGAGTTTCTTAACGAATCAAATATATTGATAAAGGGATAGAGAGCAATGGTATAGGAAAGGGAATAGAAATGTACAAGAAAAATGAACATAACCATTAATGTGTATCGGCAAATCTACATCATCTGTTGGCATCCGACGGCAAACAAACTCACAACTCAGAAGAAAAAGGATCATAAGAGATAGGCATACCTCACTAACCACACACTAGGAAACAATATCAGAACACACTCGCACTACCAATAACTTAGCCCTAATTAGGCCTAAAATATTCCTACAAAAGATAGAAAATGATTAAAATGGGTGGGAAAATCAACCTGGAAAACTACAGCAACAAAAGCCCTAAAAACAAACTGAATCCAGCAGCTAGAAATGTTGCACCTTCAAATCTCCTAGCAGCATTTTCATCAGCTGTTTGATCGGCCAGATCCCCATCAGGGGAGTCTGCTGGTGAGTCAGCCTCTGGCGTTGGAGCCGCCTTGGCTTTGCCCTTCTTAGATTTAGATGCTTTTGGGGCATCTGCTGCCTCTGCAGGGGCTGGGGCAGGAGCTGGTGTTGGAGCTGCCTTAAACAGTTCCCCAGGCATCAATACCTTATCCAGTGTATATATAGCCACAGGCTCCTCATCCAGCAAAGTTCCAGTGATCTTTGCGGTGTTCACCTTGGTTTTCAGCGTTACATCCTCTCCATCATTCTGCACAGTGATATCAAACTTGCTTGCTCCATCCGTGGCCAGCGTGTTTGTTGGGCCATTGTTGGATTTCAACATTGCCATGGACTGGTATATCGGAACTCCAAAGAACTCGAGGAACGATGTCTTTCCTGCTGCTGTCAGGTTCTTATATTTGGGCAAAAATGCTTTCATTGGATCATCCCCGGGACAGAAAACTGTCAATCCTCCCTCAGTATTATCCTACAAACCAACATGGTAACAATTTCATAACTCAAAACCTCCCTTTCAATTTGAACACCACAAATTAGTTACTTTTTCTTATCACTACAACCTTATCATCCACTTTTTTGTATTCAATCATTCCACATGCTTTTGAACTAATTATTACCAAAGAACCCCACCACCAAGAACTTTTACCATTGCCTTTGAAGCCTTAATTTTAGATCAAAGTTGGGGGTTCGATTTACGATAATGCGAAAACATTAACTTTCTTTTCTTATAATAAAATCATCAAAAGAACCCATCAAGATCACCATGTTCATTCTTAGAACAAAATTTAACAAATTAAACATGAAATTTTGAAAAATAAATGAACACCATTTCTTATGTAAGAAAAAGAGATACAGATCTGGATCAACTTCTCTATTATTAAACATTAGAAACTATCATCTAAACGCTAAAATCCCAAAATGTCATTATTACAAAGTTAGCAGTAATGAAAGAGGAAAAAAACTTTCATTTTGAGCAGTTGAGTACCTTAAAAGTGCCCATGGCTTCAGGATTGGACAGAAGAGTATCAGCAAACACCTTGCAGCCATGAGCAGACATTCTATCAGTCAAGTTCATCTCACTCGGGCCAGGCGTCGGCGCCGCCGCTGCCGCAGACGGCAGAGGTTTGGAGATCTGAATCACGGATATGTTGTAAGGAACCGCCTCTAATTCCTTGACAAAGTAAGTATCCAAAACTCCAGCATTGTCTTCTGCCCCAAACCCGACTTTCCCACCCTTCAGATCGGTGATATTGACGAACCCAGAACTTCCCGGGGCCGACCCAGTTGTCTGAAACATGGTAGCGGCGAGGGCAGTTCCGTTGGTGATCTGGTGGAGCTTCTTGGCGTTGAAATAATCTAGAAGGACGTGGTAGGAGAGGATGTTTTTGAGGGTGTAGATGGAGGGATTTTTGTCAAGGAGGGAAGACATGGCGGCGTTGTCAAGGGCGAGAACGGTGATAGTGGTGCGGCGGTTGATTTCAGAGGCGAGGTGAGTGAGGGAGAGGTAGTGGTTAAAGGTGGTGAATGATGGGTGGTCGGCTAGGAGGTGGGTAATGTTGTGAGCATTGGACGCTTGGAAAAGGAAAAGGGTAGAAAGGAGGAGGAGGAGAAGGAAGTGCAGCCGCCGCATTGTTGCTGTTTCGAACTGTACCAAGCTCTGTGATGGATTCCGCGTTCTGAAAGGGAAGTGAAGATGGAAGGAAGGAGAAGGAAGTGGAAAGTGGTATTAAGTAAGTGGTTGCCAGTGCAACGGAAAGCAAGACAAGTTTCTAAATGGGCTTGGATTTTCGCTAATTTACAAGGAGAGCCCTACAGAATAAAATATTTGTTTGATATAATTAACTTGTGATACTCATAGAAAGAAATTCATGGAAGATAGATTCTATGTGAAATGGAAATGGTATTTCTTCATCATAATTCACAAACCAAGGCATGCAAAAGAAGGAAGACTTGGGTTGTGAGAATGAAGATACATGACTAAAGAAGCAATTTGAAAGAGAAAAAGTTGCACATTATTATAGAAGTTAATTTTTCAATTTTTCTTTAATAAACTTTTAAATTTGTAAGAAAAGAATTTACTTTTTAAACTCCACCTAACATCCTCTATGCAATGAACAATGAGCATCACTTGATCAAACATCAAGGCATATTATGAAAATAGGTACAATAAACCCTATCTGCCTCTATACTCCAAGTTTCGAATAAGCTTTAAAGCATATCCAATCTTTTTCACTTTTCCATATTTTGTCCTTGATTGCTTTAATTTTTTTTTTTTGACAGGAAAAATGATTAAGAGTTAAAAGTTAGAATTTAGGTTAGTACCTGCTCATGAAAAAATTTGACTACTGGTCAGGGTGCAATCCATCTGCAGCCCTATTGAACTGCAGTGGCCACCAATGAACCACAAAGAAAAATGCTTGATTGCTTTAATTTGAACTGTCTTAATCACTACAACCAAACTTATATTGAATGGTTTTCATAAATGATAAAACCTCACAAATAAATATCATCATAATTGTAAAACCAAAATAGGTTGGGGGTAGATCTGTAGTTTTCCGAAATTAGGAGGGTAATTTGTTAAACAAAGACAGGAATTGGTGCTAGGTTAAACATGTGGGTTTGCACAACTATGTCCTTCGTGAACTGCCAACATGGCACTGGCCCATAAGCGGGCGCCACGTGGGCTATGACTGGTGGCTTTAAAAACATCATCAAATCTCCACCGACAACAGTGTGTCTGAAATTATTGGGTACTTAGGTGAAGAATATCAGCTTATATTTAATTAAATAAATGAAAGATACTGTTTGAATCCAAAAATAATAATAATATTATCTGTGTTTGTTTAATAACAGTAATTCGTTGTAGTTGGGTTTTTGATCCAATGATGTTAAATTATATATAAGTATATTACTTTTTCCTCAAAGCAACGGTTCAAATTTCAGTCATTGTGAATTCGTTAAAAAAAATAACAGTAATTCGTTACTAATAAGATTTGCTAATGACAAATTTTTAAAACGTGAGTACATACTAATTTTAATTAGTTATGTTAACTGAAAAGTTATTGAAAATTAATGTATTATTTTCAAATTCATGACATGCATGAAAAATACAACAGGATAATATTTCATCTATTAATATAGGAATAATGATAAAATGGGGTTAAAATTTGATATCAAAATTTGGAATCAATGATGTAATATAACTTATATCATTTAAAATATTTAAAAAATAAATTTTACATTATTTAATTATTAACCCTTTTAATTTTTTAAAACATCTAATATTATATATATATATAAATTAATTTAATAATATAATTTATATCATATCATTAACTTTAAATTCTCGTCTCAAATTTCCATCTCCCTATCATTACTCTTTATATAGCAATACATCAATACCTGTGTAATCTCTACTTGCAATTGGATAATTAGTGAATTTTAATGAATTAATCTTTTTAATTATAGGTAAGACCACATATACTCACGTGCTATGGATAAGGATACCACTAATATGGTATCCTGTTGTATGTAAGAATTTCACTAAAAAAAAAAAAAACAGTTTTTGATTTACAATTTATTTTAGAATAATAGTCTTTTTTTTATTTTAGGGAATACAAATTTTTTTTTCTATTTTAATTTTATAATTATCTCTCAAACTTTAATTATCTCTTTGATTAAAATAGTTATTTATTTTTATTTATTTTATAATGGTAAAATAAGTAAAATTAAAAATTATTCCAAAATTCTTAATTTGAAGATAATTTAAAAAATCTATTATTTTGAAACAGAAAAAGTATTAATAAAGAATCCTAATTCATTCTTTTTCTGATTTCACAAACAAAACGTATATTGTAATGCGCATAAACAATGAAAATAAACAAAGATGTTATTGCCGTTATTATGTCAAGAACTGAAGATTCCCACTATGCATTCTACGTGTACCATAGTAAAGCTTTCAGTCATTATGAGAGAACAGCAGATGCACGGGCAATGAAAGCTCCATTTGAGTTAGTGGCAGGGCAAGGCAGACCCACAGAGAAATTGTGGAGGAGGAGGATCTCCAGTGTCCAAGGGAAAAACAACAGAACAAATTGCACAAGGATCTGTTCACCTCCATTAAGGACAAGCCAAAAAATGATGGTCCAAGAACAAGGATAGAATAGTACGAGGTGAATGTAAGAAAGAAACTTTCTAAAATATAGAGAGGAATCCTACATTTATGGATAATGAGCTGCAATGAAATGCAATTAAGGAATTCTAAATGTACTAAAAAGTTCCAGAGAACAGTAAGACCATACAGAAGACAGAGACTCACAATTCAGGAGGTGCCCTGCATTTCAGCATAGAGACTACTACAGGTCTATGATAACTACCTCTATCCTTCCAAGCTCTCAATACTATGTCTCAGTGACAGCACTCAGCTGCAAACAGCATGAAATCCAATTCATTCTAGGTGGGCATTTTTCATGCTGCTTAGCGATTCTTCAGGAAAAGAGGCCTCTACTTAAAATAAGGCCACTTGGACAAAGTAAATGGCTCTGGTTCCAATTCATTGAACTCTAAATAAGAAGGATGATAAACCCCTGAGAAGAACCAACAAATTATAACAAGCTTTGTATGAACAATGCAATCGTCAACTACATTAAAATTTTCAGTTTCTTACAGAAGATCTTACCTAAGATTGAAGGGAATGGAGAAAACATTAAAACAATGCAGAATCAGATAAGTACATTCAACTGTCTCAATGTTCTGTAGAGAGCTTCCTAGTTTATGTAAGATCAGATGGCAAAAGATTAAAGTATTTACTTCTTCTCTACATCCAGTGCAACTATCTATTGCTGATCCTTGTTACTCGTTAAGTAGAATATAAATGTACTTCATTACAGAAAAACTTGAATGACTGTAATATGAGCTAGTTAACGGCAGAAGAACATCACCTGACTGCAATAATTGTTGTTGTTTCACAAAGTATTGCCACTTGCCAATATACTAAAAATATGATTATGATAATTCATGCTATCTAACATTAATATCATTCAGCAAAGATATGAGTCCTTTCCAGATTATCTCAATTTGACAAAACATACAACAAAAAAACAAGTATATAACTTTCTTCCTTTTGGTCTAAGTAACTCAGTCTTTTAAAATTTAAGCATAAATTACAATCGACTACAAGAACAATTCAGAAAAAACAAAGTGGGACCTCAGACTCAAAGAACTTGCCTATCTGCAGCTTCAGCAACAATTGGCAATCTGGGCATTTGACCCAACAAGCAAGAAGACGACCCGTAAATCAAGCACACCAAAATGAACAAAAACACAGTGCTATCCAAGCTCATCATCAAATCCAGCCCTAACCCATCTCTTGGATTAAAACTCCTCTCCAAAAGATCAGGAAAAATCAACAGCACATCAAGCACTATAGCCTGCATCGTATTAAACCTCACATACCTACTAAAGCTGGGATTCCTAACAATCACAAAGTACAGAGTCAAAAACACCAAAAACCCATTTAGGGGAAAGCTCCTAAAGATCCTAATAGCTGGTAACAAGGGTTGAATCATCAATTGAAGGGGAGTGAACTGTGCTATGACATATCTTCCATACTGTATGCCATCGAAGAAAGGGTAAAAATAACAAATTGCTGAGATTATCCTGTCCGGTGCATCTGCAGAATCGTTTCTTTTAGATTTGGCAGTGATGGGTGTTCTCTTTGGTTTGGATTTGAACAATAAAGGCTGGTTCTTTGGGGACAATTGTGGGCATGAATGAAGGGTTCTGTGAGAGAAGGTTAGAGAAGTAAATGGTGTAAAGAGAAAAGTGGATATGGTCATTGTTCCTGAACGCAATCGCAGAGCTGAAAAAATCCAGAAGAGGGGGCTACAAAGAAGGGTAACTGGTAGGGGTCCGATGCTGAAAAAATATCAATAAAAGTATTTC